TGTAGCAAAATTCAAGTTAAATACACAATGATTCAAGTTAAATACACAATGGTTCGAGTTACACAATACTACTTATACAGTATTATAGAATAATACTGTTCCGGCTTACCTACAAATTCAACTTAAGGACAGGCCTTGGGAACGGAACTCGTTCTGAAACTGGGGACTCCCTATATTTGATCACCCAATTCTCCTAAGTCTCATTTTTCTGGCAATATTTTCTCTGATTGTGGACTCCTGATCAGTGATGACCACTGATTAGTGTTCAGCTGGAGCGCCAACTTTCTGTTTTAACAAAGCAGCCTCTTCCTTATTTATTCATTTCATTCATATCTCAACTTCTAGGAGATCAAGGTGGTAAATGGGATTCTGCCTATCCTATTAATGTCCTAACACCTCTAAGGGTTTGACTAAGCTAAAAATGGCATCCAGGTTCTCACACACCATGCTAATTGCAGTCGCTCCCACTTATCAACAACCTAGCTTCTCCATTCCTTCCGGCAGACCATGGCTAATACCTTTTCCACAAGGACCATCAATTCATCTTTTGGCAATAACACAATAAAAGGTCCATTGTCCTTCATTGTTTCAACCGTCCAGTTTCTTGGGGAGCTGGAAAACAAAGCTGGAATCTCAGATGAAAAAATAAAGCCTTGAATTTACCACCAAGTTTAAGAAAAATGTACCGGTAAGGTTCACATGTTGGAAGAGAGGTGAAGGAGGAAGGCTATGCCAGCAGGCCTGGGGACCCCAGGGGACGGGTGAACTAGTGAAGTGGCTCCATTAATTTTAACATCTCTTTGTCTATTATTTTTTTGTTTGGTTTTTATATCTTTTAATGTATTTATTGATAGTTTTAGTTCTGTTGTACACCGCCCAGAGTTGCTTGCTTGTGAGACGGACGGCTATGTAAATTGTGTAAATAAAATAAATAAAAGAAGTGTTTATAGTACAGAGTTTGTGCTAGAAAAATCTAAGTTTCTTCTCTGAAGATAGTGGTTGGCTTCTTTCAAAGCTGCTACTCAATGGGAGACCTGCACAGATCTTACCCGTGCAATTCAATCAGCCTCTGTTTAATTTCCATCTTCTGCTCATAGCTGAGATGGAGGCACTGGCCATATCGGTGGAGAATCCCTGCCGTTACTTCCGGGGAGACCCCGTCGCAGATGAACGCAGGGGACAAATGGCAAAGAAGATTGCCCAACAGGTCCACAGAATA